TGGATCCCGAATTTCAGCGCCAGGCGCTGGAGATGATGCAGTCAATGAATGTGGGCGAGGTTCGGCACCACGGCCGGTACCAAACGGACTTGGTGGAAAAAGCCTTTAACGACGGTGTGAAGCATAACAGTGTACGTGAGATGTGTGCGGCCGTTCTTGCCGCTCAGTTGGCGCATCCTGTGCAGTGGATTGACCTTATGGATGCTGCCGTCATTCACGCAGGTATTCGCGAGGTACACGAGATTTCACCTGTGCGAACTACCGCCGATATGTTTAAGCGTACAGCGTTTTGCGAGGCTGGTGAGGCGGGAGTTGCACCGGAGATGGTTATCCGCTGCCTTCCCGCAGAGGAGCGATTTTTGTAATAAAAAAAGAAGGGTTGGGAAATGTAGACGATTGCTGCTGCGGATTGCCCAGCTTTTTTTCCTTCTGAAGTTTGTTCCCGTTGGGATTGGCGCCCCATCCATGAATAATGCAAACATATAAATTTTGTTTTGTTGGGAAGTCCGTTTGAAGAATTTTTCTCATTTTCACATTTTTATTATTTCCCTTTTTTTTTTTTAGAGAATGGCTGCTTGATTCTTTTTTCTTCTGTTTGCCGTGCGGCATTTTCTTTTTCAAGAAGGACTGGGTTTCTGGGGATTGTGTGGAGTGTACTTTGCTCTTCTTTCTATTTTTCTTTTGTGTGTGTGTGTGTGTGTGTTTTCTGTCGTTGCTGCCATGTATAGTAAATGTTCAGACTGCGGACTGTTGGATTTGGTTGCGCGGGACCACTTTGTGTGAGTGGAGCGCGTCTATTGTGGTGGGGGTACAAGGAACATGACCTCCACCGACTTGCTCGTCAGCGTCCGTGGTGGGAGAACGCTGCAATTTTTGCCGGGCTTCTCTGCTTTATTCAGGTTACGAGTATGTGCTATTACTTTGGGAACCGCATGTACCAAGCTTGGCGGCCATCAGGTAACACTCTCTATGTGAATAAGGCAATGGACACTAAAGTTTTCGCGCGTCCTGATTTGTCCGTGGCAGCGGTACGTATGGTTATTCATTACGTGCTTTCAGGCACCCAAACACCATTTGGAGCCCCCATGGTGTATCCGGAGTACATGCGTCCAGAAGCGGAGGAACTGATGAAATTTATTTTTGATTTACACATTGAGCAGCCCATGTTCTCTGTTCCTGATCTTTGGGCGATGCTGTCGGCAAAGGCGCTCGCTCGCCTGGGAGGGCCGAATATTTCTGTACGTCGCGGGAGACCAGACCCCCCGGGTCATTTGGCAGTTGAGCAGCTTCTCGTTGAGACTCCTTCCCTTGTTCCGGAAGGGAAACGCGATGTACTCAAGATGAAGCGATTGCTTGCGGGGCAGGGATTTTCCGTGGAGGAGATTGTTGGCATGATCGGAGGTATTCGAACAATTGGCTTTCATGATAGTTCGGGGTTTCACACAAAAGAAGAAGTAAAGCCACAAATGCGTCGTCACCCGAGTCTGATGGGACCCCAGGAGGGACGTGTTTCATCTTCCTGAGACGATGGAAAAATGCACTTTAGATCCCTACGTGTTTGGTGGGGAATATTTTGATCTTCTTTTGGATTATAACTGGAGGCAGCGAAGTCTTATCGGTTGGCGGAGTGGACCCTTTCGCTGCGATGAGAAGGATCGTAAACGTGAGATCACACTTCTGGATCCATTTTCAGAGCAGGCCGTAATGAGGGAGCGGAAGCGTCTGCAGGCGCAAGAACAGGCACGGGAGGCGGTTGAGCGGGCGGCCCAAAAACGAGCACAGATCACTGTACCTGAGGAAGAAAAGGCGGAATCCGAAATGGGACGTGTCGGCGAGGCGCAGTTTATTCCTGGTGTGGAAATACAGGAAAGTGTGGATGATGACACGACGGAAGCCGTTGGTTCGTTGGTGGTGCCGGAGTTCAAGAGCCCCTGCTCAAGTGTTTCGATGCGGGAAATGGACATGATGTTGCTGGACGATGCGCTCTTGACTGGGTGGCTGCACCGCTTTAGCACAAACGAGATTCGTTTCTACACGGTCTTTGGCGAAGTCATGGAGAAGATCCAGAACCGAGGATATAACCTCAACTCCCTTTACGTTCCGACGTGAGCGTCTTTTTTGTTGTCTCGCTCCTCTTTTGTTTGTTTTTTTCTTACATGTTCTGAGTCTACTTCCCTTATCCTGGAGTCCAGAAGGACTCCCGACTTGGGGGAGTCCGTCTCCACATATTTCCTGATTATTATTAATTTTTTTTTTTGCTTTTTATTTATTTATTTATTTTTTTTTTTTGTTAGGAGTTTCTTTTGTTTCTTTTTTGTCATTTTTCACATGTTTTGCTCGTCTCTTCCCCGATGCATTTTTTTTTGTTTTTTGCCGCTGCACTGTAATAATAGCAACGGTGCCGAACGGCGTGGATGGTGGTGCTTGCAACTAGCATTCCGAGGGGGTATCATGAATGAATCAAAACAAGAAGGAAAGACAAGAAACGTGGCGGCAGCGGCAGCGTCCAACGTGGACGGGTATTTACGCAATGCGTCAAGGCGGGTTCGAATCCCCAGTGCGTCGGGCGGGAGGGGTACACGGCGCAAGTTGGCGATGGTGACAGCGGCGAGTGTGGAACAGGCTCCGCGGTCTGTGGTCAACACGAACGCATCCGATGCCGTCGACTTGGATGACGAGTGGGACGAGGTGGTGCTGCCGAACGCCAACGCTGCGGCGGTAAAGAAGGATGAGGGAAAACTCAAGGAGGAGAGCTCTCAAAGGCCCAAAATGGATGTCCCCGTGGCGAATTCGTGTGCCGGTAGCATCAAAGCAGAGGCATTGGAGGTGGAAGACGGCGAGGTGGTGGGGGGTGATGAGGACCCGAGCGCACAGTCGTTGATGGAGGGCACACGGCCTCCACTGACAGGCACATCGATCCAACGGTGGAGGCGAAATGAACATTTCCAAGAGCGCATGCCTGAGCAGCAGCAAATTCTCGCTGCTCAGCGACGTTCAGAACGAATTCGGCGAGCCGCAGAAGGAATGTCTGTTTTAATTTTTGCCTTACAGAGGTGCAAAACACTCGTTAGAGAATCCCGTCACCCGCAACTACTGCGGAAACTGCTACGCGTATGCACTGTCGAAGAGAATGGTTCTAAATCGTTCCCTTTCATACAGGCTGTACAGCGCGCAAGAGAAGAATATCAACGAGCTCTTGACCCTACAGTGAAAAATCCCGCCTTGTCACCCTGTTGGGTTACCGTGGGCAAGGACACCGTCCGGAATTATACCTCCAATTCCATAATGGCTTTGCTTAGTGGCATCACCACGGTATTTACCCTGGAGGATAAAGTTGATGCCTCAATCCTCTCTAATTGGGCTGCGCCTATTTCCTTTGGGCATCTCTCCAACCTGTTGTCAAGATCGCATCAGTTTCTTATCTCCCCCGATGCCAAGTTGCGCCTGCCACATTCTTTGTACTTCAGCATCATATTTCTTTCGGTTGCCAACATTTTGGACATGTCATGTCGACTGGTGATGGCGATAAAAAAAGAGCGGGAGCGACAGAATCCTGTGGCGAATGAAAATGGGAATGTTTCCGAAAAGCCGGCGCAGATGACAATTTTTTTGCCGCGTGTAAAGCGTCAACGAAAAGAGGGTACTAATGAGGAAGATAAATTGCCACAGAAGCTGCCATCTTCTTGCTTCTGGGTAGAAGTCTGGTGTCCGCAACGTGAGAGTTTCATCTCTGTTAACCCGTGTAAAGGTTGCACCGCACTCTGGGGAGCCCCGTACACATTTTCGGTTGGTGGTGATGTTGCCATGGATGTGACGCCGCGGTACACTACAAAATACAGCAGCGCATTTACTTATCGGTGGGGCCGCTGTGATTCATATCGCTTTTTCTGGAAACACCTGGACTGGAACGATACCAGAGAAGCCTCTGAGGTCATACTCGATGCCTTCCGTAAGGATATGACCCGAAACACATGCATTCAGCTGGCTCGAGAACGTCGGCAGCTCCATTCGCTTACATATGCGGAGGAAATACCAAAAACGCTTACAGCGTTGCATAAACATCCGTTGTTTGTTCTTGAGAATGAGCTCGCACGACATGAAGGAGTGTATCCGAAGGACAATACGACGATTGTTGGAAGCGTGAAGGGTCACACAGTGTATAAACGATCTGCTGTTGTCAATTTACGCAGCCGAGATGGCTGGCTTCGTGTAGGACGCTGTGTAGTAAGCGAATATGAGGCCCCATATAAGGTAGTACCCCCGCCGGCCTCACGTCCTTTTGGATCCTCTTCTGGCTTCTTTGGAGTGTGGCAGACGAAACCGTTTGAGCCCAGTCCCCTGCGCAGTGATGGGTCGCTGCCTTTGCATGGCAAAACGCGCTGGTACGTTCTTCTTGGTAAGCCCGTGCCTGAGGGATTGGCGTATATTCAACGGCCCAATATCGCCCGAGTAGCGCGTCTAGTGGATGTTGAATTTGGACATGCTGTCATGGGATTTCAAAGGCGCCGCTTGGATGAGCGTCGATTTTCACACTGGGAGGCTGTCCTTGATGGTATCGTTGTAAGGGAAGCGGACGCGGCGAACCTCTTGCATGCATACGATGAATGGAGACAGCTGACAGAGGAGCAAGAGGCCACGAAGCGACGACAGCGAGCCAATCGATGGTGGCTACATTTGGTCCAGCGAATGCTGGCTATGCAGCGTGTTCGTCAACAATATTTGGATGGTGCATCTCACGGATATCTTCCGTTGCATTAACCTCCTTTATTTTGCTATTATTATTTACTATTATTTCCCTCCTCTCTTTATTTGTTCCTGGGAATGGGGATGAGGAAATTCTTTATCCTGCGCCGCACCGAAGTGGCGCCTATCGGAATGCTTTCAAGAGTTGGGAGACTTGGCTCATTGTTTTTCTTTTTCTTTTTGGTGTTTTTTATGACAAAGGAGGGTCGACAAGGAAAAACAGTGAGAGCAGTGCCGAAATAGCAATGCGCTCTACTCCGTATCTTGGCGGCGGCGCACGTGCCACTACAAATAATCTCCCACCGTTTACGGGCGTTTCGCCCCGTGTTTCCTCACGCAGCGTAGCGATCCACCGCGGCGAGTATGTCTCCATTGTGCTCAAGCCTACAGCGCTGAATACACAACGTGGTTCGCTGGAGGCGCTCTGTGTCGCGACGGATGAGCCCGTCGAGGTAATGGGACTCCCCAGTGGAGCGGAAGTGGCGCAGGTGAATGAGTTTGTGTGCTACGTGAACCCCAGCAGCGGAGAGCTGGAGTACTTCCAACACGGCACGTACAACGACGAATACGACGTGGAGACGTATCGCAAACTGTTGGATCTTTGCCCAAAGTTTCCACAGCTTTTTTAAAAGCTGACAAAATGACCGTTGCCCGAAGGCAAGGCAATGGGTTGCGTGTTGCCAGCACAGAGGACATAGAAGGAATGAAAGAAGAAGTTAATAAAAATAAAAATAAAAAGAGGTGGGGAAGAGCATAAATGCAGAGGCCTCTACCGCTGCAATTATCGCCACGACGTCATATGCGTGTTTCTGATATTCAGCAACAAACATGAGCGGAAGGAGGGTGAAGGAAAAGAGAGAATAAGCGAGAGAGAGAGAGAGAGAGAGAGAGAGATAGAAAGAGAGAAGTGGTTGCTTCACGTGGAATTTACACAAAATACAATAATACAGAAAAGAGGATGGTCTGCTTTGTGCTACTTGTGTTTGTGTGTGTGTGTGTGTGTGTGTTTATTAACATCGCATGGGTGATGTTTTTCCAAACCGTCGTTGACACCACTCGCTTTTTTTTATATATCTTGGGATTTTTGAAGTATTAAAGAGCCACTTTCTGTGTGTGTCTGTCCATGTATGCTGACGAGGGTATAACTTCTTAATAACAAGAAATATATGGATATATATATATTAGGTGGTTTACTATTGCTTTGTAGCGAGAGGGGTTTTACAAATAAGTGAAAGTTTATAACCTTTCAAACTATGGAGTCCACATTGCAGACATTTCTAGAGGCATATCCTTTTCGACATCCTGAGAACCCGTACGAACAGACGAGGGCCATCTGGTCCAAACTGGTGGGTTGGGAAGGGGAGTCCGCCGCGGGTCCATCCCCCTCGCTTTGCGTGCAACCCATTCCCCTAGCGCTTCTTCAGAAGTGGAAGCGTTACTTTGCCTTCTGTTCTCGCGTCATTTTCTATGAAATGGATTGGAGGGACGTGTTTGTGTACATGGGTGATGTGCCAAAAGCAGCAACGCTCTCAGTGCCACGTGATCATGTAGGATCTGACAGAAAAGCAGAGGTGGGAGTTGATGCGGATCGGGGAGAAGGCAATGGGAAAAAACAGTTGGAAACGACGGCGGGTGCATATCATCGCTCGACGACGGCTTTAATTCATACACTGGCGAATGGTTGCGAAAGGCGTTTTGGAGCATATCCATTGCGCTTTCATTATCAATGGCTCGTGCGATGGACCAAAATGCTGGCGCAGTGCATCGAATGGCGCTTGTTGGATATATCCAAGAGGGGTGGATCTGTGCCGCTAGAGGAGCTGCAGCGGTATCGTCTTGTTTTTGCTTCCAGGGCACGGGAACTTGTCGGTGCGGCTGCCTACATACGCACCGTACTTGAACTTTTGGAAATAGAGGAAGAAAAGGAACTCTGCAATACAGATATTTCTTTAAAGGGTTTGCCCAGTCTCTCTCTTAGCCAAAATTTTCCTTTGACCTTGACACTTTCCATGAGGTTTACGCTTTCTCGCGCCACATCTGTTTCTATAGAGCAGTGTTTTTCTGCGCACTCAGCACGTGTTCTGGACTCGCTCTGGGCAGACGTTCTGTGCATTCCATGGGATGTGTTGGACCCAAACAGTATGCCTGAGAAGGTACGTAGAAAATTGTTAGCCTCCTTGAATAATGCGGAAGGTGACACAGACGAAATATATGTGTTGTGTGGAAATGGCGGCTGCCGAATGCGTTCCGCGACATTGAAATTTATTTTAGAGAATGAAACCCTGGAGAGGGCAGGAATTGCAAATAACCCCCTGTTAGGGATTGTCAGGCTTACAACAGCGCCGCTTGAATTTATAGAGCCCCACCAGTTGCCTAATGTGAAACATTTGCTAGAAACGGTTGGATATGTCATGCTAACAAAAATTCGCTGTCACTTCGTAGAGAAGTGCTATTACACGCTTCCTTTTTTAGCAGATTTTGTGGCTGCAGGAGTGCTACTTAAAAAAGCATTGGTTTCCTTCTCACGGGTCTCGGCAGACCCAACATTATCCAAAGCAGAGGAGTCCAAAGTGGTATTGGGTATGGGACTGACGCCAATGCTGCTTCGAGGTCTCTTGGAAGCTACGGAAGATTTTTACGCCAGTTGCGTGGATAGCCTTCTACATGATTATTCAAAAAGGGCAATGAAGCACTTTGTGGAATTTTGTGGTGGCAGCGCGACCGTCGTCGTGTCTCAGGTGACGCTGAAACTATTGGAGGTTGTCGTGGAACCGACCCTAGAGGTGTTGTTTATGCTACTGAGCCACGCTTCCTCTTCCAAGGAAGAGTGTATTTTTATTTATTTTATCGCCGACATGCTTAAGTTTGTGCTGAATGAAAAGATGAGGGAAGCCAGAAGGGAATGTAAGATTGGCTCTCGTGTTTTGCTGCAGTGCCGTATGGATCTGTTATTGCTGATGAGCTACATTGATGAACATCCCCTGATGCGGCGTCGTGCCTCCTTAATGTAACTCTCCTTCTTTTTTCCTTGCCTGTTTTTTTGTTTCTTTGGAAAATGAAACCTGCGAACCACCAGCAACAGCAACGAGAAGGTATGATTTTACTCGTGTTGATTGCTTTTATTCTTCTCTTCTATGAGGCACCCGATGTTGACAATTGGTTTTATTTTTTTCCTCGTGACTTCTTTTTTTTTTTCTTTTTTGTTGGCCTTTTATTCGGGAAGCAATGCTGCGAATTTGCTTGCGGCCATTGTGCCGCCCCCCTGTCTTTCAGGCGGGCGAGTCTGTCGGTGGATGCCTGACGAACTCTTTGCATTGCGATGGGAAAACGACGCCTTTGGAGCGGCTGCTTGCACCGTTTATCCCAGTCACATTCACCGCCCTCACGCAGATAAGCCGTAGTGTCGATGCGGAGCTGATGGAGAGAGTTGCGGAGGCGGGAGGCCTACGGAGCTTCCTTGGCCGCCACTCGGACTTGTTTGCTGTCTCAAAGGTGGGTGGCGTTTACGTGGCCCGCCGCCTCCGACGTCGTTGTGTGGGGTCCATCCCCTCTGAAGGTGCGGGTCTTCGTCTGTCTTGCGAGGCACACGGCCCCGAACCGGAGCAGCAGGTGGAGGATGCGGGTGTATTTCCACGGATCCAAAGCGTCCCCTTGGAGGTGTTTCGCCTATTTCCTACTTTCTTTGTGCCCATGGAGGCGTTATTGGCACACTTGTGTAAACTGCCGTCGACAACGTTATCCAACTCGAGAGGAGAAGAGGAATTGGTTTCCGAGGACCACTCCGGCAGGAGTCCTGAGGCCGTAGCAGAATCTCTTGTCGAGAAGTACAATAAATTTATCGAAGTTGTTTCATTGAATGACAACAATGGCAACGGGGAGAAGGAACAACTTAAGAAATTTGTGCGTCTTCAATCGAAATTTGCTACACGTGCTGCCTCGTATGAGGAAAAGGAAGTGGAAGTTACAGGAGGCCGTGAAGGATGCATCAGTCAAATTATGGAGCCTTACAAAGTGGAAGAATATGAACAATACCGTGTAGCTCGACTGATTCCAGTTGCAGAGGAATTTTGTCCCATTTCTGCAGAAATGCGACAGGCGGCGGCTGTGTTGCTTCCTGAAGGACGGAGCTTAATTCATGTGCTTTTGTCGGCACCAGATCTCTTTGAAGTTCGGGATACGCCAGAGCTGTCTGTTCGCTTTATTCTGGACTCGCGCTTCAGACCGACCACCACGTGCACGAAAGAAGAAATTGAAAGGAAGCTGACCGAACTGAAGGAATCGCGAGTGAAAAATGGCCTAAAAATGCCGATTGATAGAAAAAAACGACGAACTTTATCGAGACAACTTCAGTTTTTTGTTAAACCCACGCCATACTTGGACGAACGTGTTTGGGCCCACGCATTGCTGGATACGTTGCCGCTGGACGGTCCCGTCGCATTTGCTGTCGCCATGTCAAATCTTCCAAGTGAATGTCTGGCCTGCACTCCAGTGAACTTACAACGTCTTATTTCTCAATATTCTTATCTGTTTAGCCTAGTTGAGGGGGAGAGGGAGAAGTTGCTGCAGCGTGCAGATATTCCCGCAGTTGAGCAGCGTTCAGTGTCAAGTATCGATACGGAGGAAATACTGTTGACGATCTACAATTACTATCCACGCCGTAGGCATCCTAACTGTGGGACATGTCTTGAGCGTTGTATTTATTCTATGCCGCTGCTGCTCCGCACTAGGTTGCGTCAGTTGGACTTTGTAGAGGAAGTACTTCGTAAGCATCCCGACAAGGTTGAGGTGCTCGGTATGCTTGACGAGGAACTGATGATGCATGATAGAAACCTAGCTGAAAAGTCGCAGATGTGTCAATTATTTCGTTTCGTCGGGGAGTATCAGGCGGAGTTGATCAAGCGCTATGAGGCACTGTGTGTCAAACTGGGTAAAGACCCCAACACAAAAAGGTTGGTGTAGAAGATGAGAGTTTTTGCAATGAAGAGGAATCTTGTGAGTCTTTGCTTGTTTGTTTGTTTACCTTTATGTATATGTATATATATACATACACATGCGTGTTGGCGGTTGTGGTTTTTATTACGACGGTGCCATTTTATTTTGAGATACTTTTAATGTGACTCGTTTTTTTCTGTTGTTGTTGTTGTCGTTTTTTTGGTGTGGTGGCTGCTGTGAATTTTGTGTTCAGTGGGTTGCGCTGCGCAATGAAGCACCGACCATCTTTTCCTTGTTTTCTTTCTCTTTTTTCCTTTGCGATGATGAATGACATGTACGTTACAAAAGTTGACAAGAACGTTCTCCCTCCATTCTCCCAACGCACGGCGTTGATGTGGAGGAAAGCTTCAAGCACCAAAGCAGAAAATTAAAATAAAAAATAGAAAAGATGATCACAACACACATGAAATGCATAATGATGAAAACTCGGATTAGTTTTTAGCTACACGAGAGGAATGACCACATGACTCTATCGAGTTCGAGAAAAGTGCGAGCGATTACTGACGCACACCCAACACCCGTCTTACCCGTTTATTCCTCCCCTATCCTTCCTTCCCTATTTCATTCCGTTAGCCCTCGAAAGAGTCATTCCTCGTTATTTACCACATGGCGGGGCAATGTAGTTGCGGCGGCGAGATGACGTGTTTTGGCAGCCAGCTGCTCCTTTATTGTTCTTTTCTCTTTTTTTTTTTTTTTTGGTTCTTGCGTGTGAGTGATGATCTAAACAATTTGCACGTCAGTTTGATTCCGTTAATGAGATGTCACAATTGTTTTAGGCCACACTGTGGCTTCACTGACTGGAAGAAGGCCCTTTGCTTTCGTGCACACACTGCGAGACGCATTCCCTCACAATATTTTTCTCAGTTATGGTCTGTTGTGTGTGTGTGTGTGTATTCGCGCTTTGGGCTGTTGCTTGGGCTTGTTGTTTCTGCGTTTATTGCTTTTTTGTTGTTTTCTTTTTTTTTTTTTTTTTTTTTTTTACTTGGCGTGTGAGTTTTTTGGTCGGCGCTGAACGTTGGTAAAGCAACATTTCTCTTGAAGAGCAAAAGTATACATGCCACAAGGTGGACGGGGTCCCATGGTGCTGCTAAAGCAGCAGAGGTTGCCCGCATGGCAGCCCATCCTTACACCTCCACATGTTGCGCTAGCTTTTTTCCTGCTGAGCATATTGTTTATCCCTTTAGGGGTTTTCGTGACGCTAATGAACAAACAGGCGAAGGAGGTCACCGTTCGTTATGATCATATTCATCGCTGCACAATTACACATAACACAGGCGCCTTTATGTATGAAGGCAACAATATGACGTTTAAAACTGGATGTATGACGGAAGTTTCCTTTGATATCACGGAGAAACTTAAGGCCCCCGTATATCTTTATTATGAATTAACAAGGTTTTATCAAAATCACAGGCGGTATTCAATCTCGCGAAACGATGAACAATTGGCCGGTAAAGCCGTGAGATATTTGCCAGACACGTCACCTCTTACCATACCAGGGGATATTTATGGAATCTCTGGGACTCCCATCAAATACGTGGATGGTTCGGATTTGCGTTACAAGGATTTTTTGTACGTTCCAGCCGGCCTCATTGCCTGGTCCATTTTTAATGACACGTTTACTCTTTACACAGAGGCGACGAATGGTGGAACTCCACGAAAACTCATATGCAACGCGACGGATTTTTCGAAAGGGAACAATCTTCCTCTTAATGGCTCGGAGTCAGAAAATATGTGCGTCAAGAAGGGGATTGCTTGGGATACGGACGTGGAATATAAGTTTAAGGCCCCGGATTTAGAGGCGAAAAATCGTTTCTGGACGGCGGCAAAAGAATTGTACACGGGGAAGGTGCCTACTCCAGAACTATCAAATGATGACTTTTTCAACAAGGGGTGGTACGCGGGTGAACTGGGTCACGCCATACCCGTGACAACCGATGAGGATTTTATGGTTTGGATGCGTCCTGCATCGCTT